ATCTTTAGCATTTTAGCAGCCTTCAGCCAGGTCTAGTTTCATCTTCATCTCTGTGGGCCATGATATTACATATCACATAAATTATTTATTACTTGTAGTTAAAAAAAAGTCGAAATTGAGGCTAGTGTAGTGTTAAAAGTGTAAAACCTTAAATGCGCTGAATGAGAAAGTGTTGCAAGCCACATCGGTCCTATAGGCCAGGGATTGCCCATACTGGGTTTAAAGGAATAAGGAGCCAGTAATCAATAAAGTAATAGACTAATAACGAAAATATCAACAAATTTAAAACATTTTGAAGACTGAGTAGTGTTTGTGAAGTAATAATTAAAATTAAGATGTAATCCTATATCCCATTGTTATGAGCTGAAGACAATTTTGTAAATTTACAGAAGAGCTTATTAAATGCCACTGAAAAGTAGCTGCTTCTTGTGGAGAAAACTCCGGACAGTTTACAGATCTTCCTGCTACTTCTGCACAGTGCAGATAGAGGTCATATTCTGCTTACATTTTATATCATCATCATCATTATAGTGTTGCAGATATTAAGACCATTGGCATGTTGTGGTGCCATGTTATATCTCAATGTTCACAAATTTAATTTACCTCAAGACTTGGATTCATTTTGCTACTCTGTAATGTTTCATTTATACTTCATTTAATTTTTATTAGTATAGTATTCTTGTGTGGATTGTGCAATAATATAAATATTTAAGTTCTTCAGTATGTTTGCATGACCTGCAGTTCTGAACTCTTCTTATTGCAGTCAAAATAATCAATAAAATAAAATGCCTTTGCTTGTTGGCAAGATAAGTGAATCAAATCTGTTTTATTTAAGTTCTCCAGTGGATTTTATATTGATTCTGTTTGAAATAACTAAATTAATTTCATTGAATTTTGATGTCACCCACATGCCAAGTTATTTGATGATACAGTAATATGGTGATGTGTACTGTGATTTGCGCTAAATTAGTGTCTTTTTGAAAAGTAGATTATTTCACTGGGTAGACAGCATAAACTTTGAGTAACAATTAAGAAATAACAATTTCATATCTCATTTCACAGGTCTTTGGAAATGCAGATACAATATTGAATTTACACTTTTTCTGTCAAGATACAAATATAAGACTGAACATTGCTGTCTTGTTCAGAACAAATATAATTTGTATCATGCTTATGTATGTAACATCCCTTTTAGGCTCATATTACAGTTGTAAAGACCAGGGCATGTTCTTTGTAATCATTTATGATAACATTTAACTGTTGGAATATTTGAACACTTCTGAATGAATGTGGAGGTCTCTGAAATACCAGTTCTCTCAGTGAACATTCTGCCACAGAAATGGATCACAAGCTTGTGGGAAAAATAGAACCACATTTAACACTCATATCAGTTTCCATAGTCATAATCTTGTGTCTGAAATGGATGTGGGAAATTAAGTTATGAGTACTTTATTATAATTGAGAAATTAGAAAAAAAATACAATTTTTAAGTTGATGAATTTAGGATATCATATGAGACCATTTTACCTGGTTCCAAACTTTTTTTTAGAAAAGTGCTGTTTTGTTTTGTTGGGTGAACAAGCTGTGATAAGCCTAAACACTTGATGTTTGGTTTATGCTGTGTAATTTAATTTGTTGGACATGGAAGTTAACGCATACTAGAGTTCCCCCTTTTTTATCCAACGTAAACCAGGTGATTTAATTTATACAAAAGTTTCTAACAAATGAATTAAAGGTTCCAGAGTAATTTTAGGAACAAACCACACAGTAACATTTGTGGATTTGATTAGGCTGACAGTGCATTGTAGTAAGCGTAAAACACTGAGACATGCACTGTTGAGACTGAATGTAAATACTAACACTAAATCTGACAGTTTGTTAGTGACTTGAAATCTGCCCTATCTGAGTGCTGATATTACGTACCAAGAAGTAAGTACTTGTATGTTAAACAGTAATTATGGATAGAATTTATAATTTTAAGTAGTCTTTGGAAAATAAATACCAACATATTTTGGATATTAATTGTAACATAAAATGAAAATTGTTATCAGAATGGTGGTATGAAAATCTAATATCTATACCTTCCAACCTGTATTTGGTCAAATTATTAATAATTTACTTCTCTGTGTCACTATAACTCCTGTACCACTCATAGTTCATCTTAGTTTGTTACTTCTTAAAATCCAGACTGCTGCAATCTATAGATGGGCTCCATTGTGCGAAGCGTATGAATTTCATTCCATACAATCTGCAGTGAATACTGTGTTTTAAAACTACTTAGAATGATAGCCATTAAACATTATTCTACTTGGCTTATTAATTGCTTTGTTAGAAATATTGAATATTAAGACAGTTTAAATCTCTTGTATAATGGATAAATGTGTTAATATGTGCAGTATTCTTTATTTCTTAGCAGATTTGTGCCATAAGTTCATCATTATCACATTTCATAATGTCCAAAATATCCTCAACAGTATAATTTTTTTTTGATGTACATGTGAAATAAGTTGAAATAATTCTGCATGTTATATATATATAAAGAACATATACTAATGCAGGGTTGTCAAAAAAGAACTCTCAGATTTTAAAGTTTATGTTTCACTTAATTTGAAATATATAGTCTTCGGGCTTCTAAAATATTCAACAGCATACACAGTTTTTGTTCCTTGACTGCTGCTTATGTGAATTAATTTGTCTAAGAGTCAAGAAATGAAACTGGGTTTCTGAATATTTCACAGTGCATCCCATGATGTTAAAGTTTAAATCTCGGCATGATACTGATAATATTTTATTTGTTCTAATATCCAAAATACTGCTTTATAAAGTAAATTCAATTTATCCTTAACTGTTGGGCATGTCCTGCTATTGTTATGAAAACGTTCAGTAAAATGGCCAGTTTGACATTATCTGTTTCAGAAATATGAAACAAAAATCAAAACACAGAATGGAATTTGGAGTTTGTTAGCCAACCCTTGCAATCCAGCATTATTCTACATTTTTAAACATATGTATATTGTACCTTTAAATTCTCTATTAGGGTTAATAATTGAATTTTGCTTTTCTGAAAATGTTGGTAAAACTGTAAATAATTTGCTGTTGGTAAGTGGTCATATTCTGACATGACCACATTTTAAATACAGCAATCCATCACCAACCATGAGGTTTATTTTCCTGAAAAAACATTGTGGTTGGCAAGATGAAAGCTTTGTGTGAAAGTGGGAAACTGTGGCTGCTGTTAATCCTTGTCAAAGATTAACCAAGTTGCCTACTTACTAAAAACAAAAATACATATTAGATGTATAAAAAAGCTGCAAACCATGAGGAAATAAAATTAAATACTGTAGTTGGCAAAAGTGAATATGAATGGAACACTGGGAATTCTTAGTTGGTAAAACCACTGTTGGTGAAGGATCACTTTTTAAATTCTGTTAATGTGTTGACTGACTGGCTATTTAAAGGTTAAGTGGAGATATATAATTTTCTGTAAGGAAGCTAATAATTGTTACAAAACATATTTACGTATATACTGTATGCTGTTTCCAGGGTTCTTGGAAATGCATCTGAATAAGTAATGCTTAAAAATTAGTGACCCAGATGTACATGTAACTTATTTTCAAGCTGATGTAGAAGTACATAAGATAAACTTATTCCAATGACCTGTTGAACATATATTTTAATTATATTCTGCATTATGCATGTTGCTATGTTATAATGGAACATGCAAGGGCCTATCTATTCAATTAATTTGATAACAGCTTCTGAGAACTAGTAATGTGTTTAAAAAAATACATGATAATGCTTCTTAAGCTGTGTATTCTCTATGGTGTGTTGGAATTGTCCATGCATTTTCTTTTGTATGTTACATTTGATTTGCATTAACATTTTGTTCTACCACATTATTATTAGAAGTTCTCTGTGTGTTGGAGTCGTAAGGTTTTAAAGACATGTAGCTCAAATAAACAGAGATGTATATTAATTTCATTATTCATCTGTAATTCATTGCTACACCCCATTTGCAAAGAATTAGAATTATGTTTGATAATTCAGCTGCTATTATCTTATTCATGAATCAGTATCATGATTAAATGTTTATATTTCATGTACTGGCACTTTGACATAAAGGAAGATTATGAGGGCATGCATTCTTAGCCTTGCACTTGATTGAAGCAAGTTGTCATTTTCACACTGACTGCTAGGTGGCTGTAGATCTGAAAGAGCACTGGAGAAAAATTCCATTTTGATTGAAATAGGGAAGAGAAAATCAGTTGTTACTGTTATGTACTGTAGTCTTGTATTAATCATACACAATAAAAGGAACATTTTCTGGAACTTTTGCTTGTTAGTGTGCCTATCATGTTAGAAAGTTTAGTGTATTAAAATTCAATTAAAAAGTTCAAAATCAGATGTTATATTTTAACATTTATGAAAATTTATAATCTTCAGAGACCTTTGATGTTAATGTCCTGGAAATTCTCGTATTTCTGTGTGAGTTTGTAGTTCTCATGGCAGTGAGAATGTGAATGTTGGCCTTCTGGTTTATAGGTAGATGCCATTTTAAAGAAACATACTGTCTGCATGTTCAGCCCTGAAGATGGAGACAGTATGTTTGAGATTTCTGTCCGCCCATCTTTGGAGAGGACCCTGGCACCATTTGCTGAGGATTGTTGTCTTGTTCCCAAGGAAAAATAACCAGTTCTACTCATACTACAGTCAGTGAAACGTCAGACCACAGATCTGTTGGGGCTTGGTGTGACAATATTATCACTCAACACCAAATAATGTTATTTGCGAGCTTGGTTTTCTTACCTCAGTAGCATTAAAATGGTAGTAATCGTAATTGTTATTTAACGAGAAGGTTTTACTTGCAAACCAATTTTTATAGGTTAGAGAAAGTGTGTGTAGCTTTCAAATTAAATGGGAGCCCTAGGGCATTGGGCACCATGTTAATATACTTTTTAAGAAATGTAAACATTGCTTTTATAAAACCTCGTGAAAGCATACACGAAGGGTAGTAATATAAAATCGCCTTTAAGCTACTAAAATGTGGTATCATCAATAATCCCGAAATATTCGATACATCATGACTAACACGCTAATTTATATGCAGTGAGAAATTTTGTTAGATGATGTTGGTGTTGAGGGAATTACGATGATTGTAATGTGGTGTTTTAGAAGACGTGAGAAATTGAATGTGTGTAATGGCTTTCTGCGTGATGAGAAGGTTATATATGTCGAACGAAACATCTGGTAGATATTGTCTGGACTGAATTTGTCATGTGTGGAATGTGTCATCGTAACTAAAGGTTTTAACAATTAAGAATTTTGATGTACGTGTCATGCACGATTGCCATGTAACTTACTAAATATCGCATGCACAGATTGCATGTTCCTACACAGAAGTAAGTAGTTTTAGGCTTCTATATTATCTCAGTTTCAGTAATTGAACCAAATATCGTGATAATAGGATAATACTAAAGGGCCTGATTGAACCACGTTAATTAAAATTCTGATAATATTCTGAATAAAGAACAAGAAAGAAAATATATAATACCAAATATTTTAGGGACGAGTTCTGTTATTCTTGTGCTTCCACACATTGTGTCTGTTTCATTACGAATTATCGCCAAAAAATTCTAGGCATGCTACGTATTAATTCACATCAATCATTCGTGTTGTAATTCTGCTTCATCTTTAACTGCCATAGCATACACAGTACTTGTTTGATGGCCTCATAAATAAGAATCTAGCAGGTTTAAATCAGGTAATCTTGCTGACCATAGCTTGAAAACAATGTTTGTAAGGATCCATGTTTGCATTTACTTTTTTATTTTGTGTACAGAACACATTCTGAAGTACCATGTGTTTCAGGAACACTGTTTAACAAGCCTGGTCATTTCAGTAAAAGTTCAGGTTATGTTGATCCGCTGTTCATTCTTGTTTTGGTTTTATCAGTACTGTGTAGTGTTGGTAGTTAGTAGCTTAGAATCTGCAGCCATAGTTTGTAGACACAGTATATGTTGAACCATTTCAGACAAGAAAATAAAAATGTATGTAATTAAAAGTGGCTACTTTTGTAAACATTTTTAATTGTTTTGTTAGGTAGGTTACTGATCAGTTTTATATAATATGGAATTTGATAATTTGTACTGTTCACTGAATATTATTATGAGGAAAAGTCAAGAGAATGATATGCGCAGAACATGTAATATATGTCGAGATCTTAGAAATGCATACAAAATTTTATTCTGAAATCGGAAAAGAAGTGACCAGTTTCCATGACATAAAACAACTGCACTGATGTCAGTCCTAATGAAGATGATATGAGGTTGGTTGATAAACACACACGCACATGCATGCATGCACAGCCCCTGCTTATGGTGAATGTTCAGTCCCTTAGAATTTCTTATTATGCAGTTTCAGCCAACAATATTTATGTCCTCTTATTTAAAAACATCAGCCTTTTTGTTGTCCTTCAGCAAACATTTGATTGAACTGGTTGTGTTCATAGGTTATACATGCCAAGAAATGCCATCTTTCTTTTATTTTTTCAAAATGTGTTGTGCTTTACTGCATTTCTGAATGTGACTACTCTGTTGTAGTGTTTGTACAAGGGCTGCATGCAATGACACTAGCTACTTGCTCTTAGTTGGTTAGTTTACAGTATACATTGTGATGCATTGTGGTAGCACTGTATTTCCATACCAAGCACTTGAAAAAAGATCAACATGAGAGACTTTGGTGGGGTTTGTGTGACTGCTTAGCATAAAATATTTGAAGGCGTTGGACACTCATACTGTGTATAATTCTCTGTTGACTTCAGGGCTTTGCAGAATAAACCTTCATTTAACATATTTCACTCAACATAGGAGACTAGGAAAGAATGAAAGTATGAAATTATTGGTCTGCAGTTTTTTATGTACTCGGGAATTAATCGTGACTTGTACACAGGCTTAACAGTATAGCAGAAAGAGCTACTCTGTAGAGGTCATTAGTGTTGATTCTGTTTTCACCATATTACGCTCAAAATGACACAAAGGAGTAGTTGAGTGAGTCGTCGTGGCAATGACATTACTGCCCTGCTTAATCACGTGTGACCATTTCCACGATTTAAAAGTTGTCTTCTGCCAGCTGTCGTTTCTAAAAATATGAATGATTGTTTGGAATAGCTGTCTAGTGAATTAGTTGCTTTGTGTTCGCACTGTAAGAAATCCTTGACAAAAGTCTGTTTGTCATGGATGTGCATTGGGGGTGGGGGGGGGTGTTGAAGGGTCCTTTATTTAATTATATGGCCTTCTTTTATCTGAAAACATTGTAAAATCTTTGTCCAATGGAAGACTACAAAATTAAAAACTGCTAGGACTTTGGAATAAATAGAGGCTGCAGTGGTAAGCAAAGATCATATAATATTAAAACATTATGTAGTACAGGGGTGGCCAACCCGCGGCCCGCGGGCCGCATGTGGCCCGCCTTGAACATTTTTCCGGCCCGCGAGATTCATCACACTTTTACAAAATATATTTATTTTATAATGGCCAAAGTAGTGAAAACCAATGTATTAAAAAAATACATTATTTGTGCATCCATATATTCAAAAATTATAGTGTATCTAAATCTAATATGGGGATATATAATTTTATATGTGGCCCGCGGAGTTATGATCCAGTTCCAAAGTGGCCCGAAAGATCATTTGGGTTGGCCACCCCTGCACTACACAATATGATCTGAGGTTGTCATGGTAGTGAAGATGTTGGCCGGAAGACCAAATTTGAGGAAACGCGTGGTATTTATATATATAAATGGGAGGTCTGAGAAATAACTAGACAGATTTGTGTGAAAGACATTCTGTCTAACCTTTAATGAATGTGTTCACCTTCTGGCTGTGTATATGAATTCTGTAATCTCTGCTATGCCAGGAAACATTGTTGGAAAACATTTTCTGAAAGGCCTATTAGTACTGTCATTGCATTGTTACGAAATTTTTAAAAATTATTGTAAATTAAATCCTTTCAAGGACATTTCTAATTTTAGAAACATAAACATTTATGGAATTGTTTGTTTGGGAGGAACACATTCATAACTGATATTTGCTTTGCTTTCAGAAAGGCAAATAAGCATGGGTTTGGTATTGTTTTACTGAAAGTAATTGTGTGTACTTGGTTCAATTTCACATCATAAGCTCATTTTATGATTACAGCCACAGATTTACAATACAGTTCTGTGATTTCAGGTGTCTGGCGGTAATAATCATCATACAAGTGTATTGATCGACAGGATCAGTAAGGATAAATAGTTTGTACAGAAAGTCAAGGAAACCCGATTGTAATGTTGGAAAGTAACAAGCAGCATAGCAGAGCTAGTGTAAGTACAGTATGCAGAGGATACAGTAAACTGTAATAAGTTGAGGTATTTGCATATGAAACACAGGTGCTTTAATGGCGGGACCACAGCGTAAGCGCAAAGTAAAGAGAAGGAGGTTTACTCATGCTGAAGCATTGCGTCAGCAGAGAAAAAAACCACCAGATGGTGTTCACTCACAAATAAGTAACTGGAATTCTGAGCCATTAGTGCATCAGGTGGTAATGAAACTTCAGGAAATTTGTAGAGCTGTTATAGCGACAAATGTAAATATGATTATGAGTGAAGCTGTTCAGTCAAAAGTAGAACAAGTTTCGAAAGAATGCACGTCGCCATTAGTTGAATCTTCAGTGGTTAGTAAGGAAAAAACAGACATGACATGTTCAGAAATTTCATATGCTTCAGATCAAGTAAATGTGGCCAACAGTGACATATTTTGCTCAAAAATATGTGGGTCACCTGCATCTCTGGATGTTTTGGACAGTGTTCATGCAGATGGAGCTGATAGCTTAGTCAAACTTGAAATTTGTGAAACTGAAAGTTGGAAATCACAGCAGAACAATTTGAATTGTGTAAGCTATCCTAAAAACACACATTTGCATGATGTTATCAAAGAAGAATGTGAATGTGATGTTAATGACAGTAACATCTGTGCCAGTAATGTAATTAATGAAACTTTCAGCCTGAAAACTGAACCAGTTGATAGCTTAGCAAATGTTAGTCACAAAATAGAACAACAAGATAGGAAGAGTGTTGACCTTGTAGAAAATAGCGAGGGTCCTAGTTCTAGTGTTGCAGGTGATGATATTCTTTTAAAGGAGCAAGAAAGCTTATCTAATCAGCCTTTTGATAATAAAACCTTCTCAAACAATGTCAACAAAATTGTTTTGCATGATTACTCAAGGTCTGAGAATCAATACTGCAAGGAGAATGGCTGTAATTTTACAGGTCCCATGAATGTAGCAAATCGCTTTGAAAATTCTCCCATTGTAGCTGCTAATGAGAATACCAGTTTCAGTGGCACTGCTTATTCGTTGGATGAAAGTAGAGGAAATTGTCTGATGGAGATTCAGAAACATTTGGGCCTTCATTCCAGAATCAGAGAGAGAAGATTCATTTCTCATAGTTTAACATCTGCATCGACTGAAGAATCTTTAGATAGTTTGTTGTCTAATGAAATGGGTGAAAGAGAATGTTCACCAGATTTGAAAAATTATCATTTAAAAGATGAGATTTTGTATAATACAAGAAATTGTGGAATGGTAGGTGATGCAGACAGATTGTCTCATCAAGAAGTATCTGATTCAGGGTCAATCAGGTTTTCAGCAGATTCAAGATATGCCCTGTCATCAATATCCATGGGATTATCAAATGATGACTCTTGTAGAGATGATACTTCTGCACATTCGTGGTCTTCTACGTCACTCTCGATCAACAGTGGTGGAAGAATTGATAGTTATTTGGAGCCAAACACAGATATCCCACATCATTACAGCTTTGAGGCAAGTGATAGTTCGTCTGGGTTTTATACTGAGCGACTCTGTGAAGATGTTCATATGCTTCAACGTACTGTACCAGTCACATACCCGGCCATGTCCATCAGCCCCCCAGCAATGTTGCCTCAGGAAGGAATTGTACCAGGAACTAAAACCTTAAAGTCTTGTGAAGAAGAACTGTTGAGGAGAATTGAAGAGTCTTTAACAGAAAGAGAAACATTGAAGTATCAAAAAGAAGAACTTTTTAATAAAATTGAAAAGTCTTTAACAGAAACAGAATCATTGAAGTATCGCGAAGAAGAACTTCTGAAGAAAATTGAAAGATCTTTAACAGAAGCTAAGTCAATGAAATTCCGAGAGGAAGAACTTCTAAGGAGAATTGAAGTATCTTTAGCACAGAGAGAAACTGTGAAACCTGATAATGAAGATCTGTTTATTAGGCTGAAAACATCATTGAAGGATGCAACATATAATAGTATAGATTTACAATCTACAGATGCCATAGAATTTGAGTCAGAACACGAGCCAGATTTGGATAAGTCATTACCGCTTAAAAAGCGAAAAAAACTGCTGAAAACTTTGACAGACGATGAAGACAGAACGATGCAAATAAGAAATTTATCACTAGAAAGCTTTCCGTCATTTCCGTCATGGCCAATGATTAGTATTGCACAATTGGAAGCTATTGGCAAATTACAACATAATTTAAATTTTCCGTCATTTCCATCACAACCAATGATTAGCATTGCGGAATTTGAGGCACATACAGCGTGTAGTAAATCACATCATCATACATTTGAGTCATCTAAAGTTGTGCCCTGGGTATCACGATGTCCTCATTACTGTAAATCACATCATCATACATTTGAGTCAGCTAAAGTTGTGCCCTGGGTATCAAGATGTCCTCATTACTATAATGAAAGTAGTTTTTGTGATGAGTCACCCTTCTCCAGAGATGTTAGTGTTGGAGGAATGTATGAGGAGTTTTTAGAACATCGTTAAAACTGTGGAAATTACAAGGGACTCTAATAGGTCTGATGAAATAATGAGAAGATTGGAGGCTTCATCAGCAGAAACTTTATTATCCAAGTGCAGTGATGTAGCTGAAGATTTCAGAGATAATAGGGTCTTGCTGCAGATTCCTTATGCAGTGACACAGAAGTGTGAGAAGAAAGGATCCTTCAGCCGATTTTTATGTGGCAGAAACTAATTCCAAAGAAAATAGGTTCAGAATGTATTGAAATTGAAGCAGATTATAAAACAGTAATAAACTGCTTGAAAAAATTGTACCTTCAAGTGATGGAATGGAGGCACGTTTAGAATTAAAATGTAAAACAGAAGCAGATTTTAAAAACAGGATAGAATACTGTGGAGTATTTTGTCCACCTTAAACAGATTTGAAGTACAAAGCAGATATCAATTCAGAGGCATCTTTAGCTCTGTCAAGATTTACAAAGATAGATGTGAATTCTGATGATAGCATAAAAATAGGCATACCTCATTTTATTTCGCTTCGCAGATATTGCTTTTTCTTACAAATGCAAGGTTTGTGGCAACCCTGTGTCGAGCAAGTCTATCGGCACCATTTTTCCAACAGCATGTGCTCACTTCGTGTCTCTGTGACACATTTTGGTAATTCTTGCAATGTTCTCGCATTGTTTTTTAGACATGATGCTATTGCACACTCAATAGACTACAGTATAGTGTAAACATAACTTTTATATGCACTGGGAAACCAAAACATTTGTTTGACTTGCTTTATTGCGGTGGTCTGGAACCGAACCCGCAATATCTCTGAGGTATGCCTGTACTGTAATTATGGAAAATACAGATATGTGAAGCTGCAGAATTGTTACTACACTAAAAAGAATGCAAGTACAGTATTTTAGCATTTGTTAATGACTTGTATTTTTGGGTGTGTAATTATATTACCATCAATGTGTAAATTGTCATCACCATTTCAAATTGTATATTTTTTGTTACTAGCAATTACCCTTAATGCTCTTATGTCACTGTGTGAAAATTATTGTCTGCACACCAGTTTTTAGGCATATATACAACTAGAAATTTAAAAAATGCAGCTATTAGCTTTGACCTGTGTATCCATCTATTCATATGTAAATGTATATTTAATAACATATGAACTGGGGTACTTGTGGGTTATCGGGACACATCGCTTTAAAAATAGGTTAGGTTAGTTGTCATTTATTGAAATAAAATATAATAACTTCCAAGTATATGTCATTTATCCACACACATTAACCTAACCTAACCTGTTTTTTAAAGCGATGTGTCCCGATAACCCACAAGTACCTAAACTGGTTTTCTCAAAATTTGATTCTAGGGAGTTTTTTTTCACTGTAGTTTTTCAACACATTCCAGTTGTTTTATAAATCAGGCAATATTAACAGGCACTTTACTTTGTATTTTTGTGCACAGAAGTGACTCAGTGTGAATCACTAGGCTACCTTCGTGACCTTGATTGCATTGGTTATCACTGTTAAGTGTGGAATCTCTAGCTATCATACACCTCTGATACCACTGGGGTCATTTTGGAGGTTAGGTTGTAGTGAATGCACCAGAATTCTTATGAGGTGTGTACATTTCTTAACTTGTTAACATGGCAGAATTTGATATTAGAAACTTTTTCATCACTGTTATATCGTTATTTAATCAATTCCAGCAATTTACATTCTTTAAATGTCTGCATTGAGTTACCAAGTCTTTGAACAAGTCAGAGTACAGTGCTTGTGACTTACATTTAGATGGTCTGTGCATTAAATGTCACATGGCGTGAAATTATGGTTGTAGTCATGCAGTGGCCTTTACACCGTGACCTGATTTTGTAACATGTAGTTGAGAGAAAGTTATTTAATATATTTTGACATGTATAGTAGAACTATATTTATTTTCTGACTTTCTGTGATGAAATGTTATTTTAAAAATAAATGCATTTTGGAATGTATATAACTTGGTATTTTGTTAACTCATGCAAGCACAAAAGTTGCATTTTATAAGCAAAAATTTTAGCTGAAAAAAACTTCTGACTAATTGCTGTTCTGAATTTCCGTATCTTCTCAGCATGAATAAATAAAACTGATGTGTCAGAACATCATTTTTATCATTACTATGTTTATTTAAATGAGGAATGTAGTTCCAAAAAAAAACTTCATATATTTAACACAGTTGTGGGAAGATAAGAGTTTTTTGTGAGGCAGAAACTAATTAGTAATGTGAGTGTTAATGCTTTTTGTGCTTTATAAATTAGCAAGGTAATGCAAATGGTATGAATCGTATTTGCTCAACTTCAGTGCCTCAGAATGAAATAAAAATAAGTGGCACAGATCTTGGAAATTGTGAAATTGTACACTTGACCAAGAAGAAAGTCTAGGAATTTCATTTAAAAATAAGTGATTTTACCTTTTCCATTGCAAGATCTACAGACTGTTATGTGCCGATATTGATATGATTTGTTGTGTGTTCAGTGTACAGGGTGTTTCACAATTGGTCTGCAATACATCATGGTAGGGGTTGATCTGAGTAAAAATGATAATACAACATTGATCTTCTTTTTAGCCATTGCAAAGCTGTGGTGGTTTAAAAGTGCATGCAGTGAGAAATAAATGGGAGTATTAATCTGACAAATTTATTGATACATCTTATGAAATAACATCTTATATATATTCAAAATGTCTGCCACAGATTTCAGTGCAGATTGCAAAGTCCCATTTCATGAATCATTTTGGGGTGTTCTCATGTTAAACGGTAGCATCCATATTCCGATGCTGCGGTTTTGCTGTCGTACTTTGGCCCTCTCCTACATTAGATCCCATAAAATGAAACTAAGCAGATCTTGGCAGCCAAGGTGTTGTGGATGATAGTAACCAATCCAGTTATTTTTGTAACACTGATTCATGTAAGCCATAATTTGACCTGTGTATGGAGGCACACCATTTTGCTGATAGAAGGTCCTGTGCATTGTCTCCCGAGGCATATGCTCCATTAGAAGTGACTTCATAGGTCAGGAAGTTCAGATAATTATCAGAAGTTAAACATTGGTTCAACACAAATGGTCAAATCAATTGATCTGCAGTCATACCACACCACACACCAAACATCTACTGAGAATTGATGTTGATAAATGCTCTTTCACGAGTGTTGTCACGTGTTGAAGTACATGCAAGTAGGTTTTTGTTGTTTGCACATCTTAAATGTCTGTAGCTCCAGAATGGTTGAAAATAAAATTGATGTATCATGTTTTGCTTGAAATTACCTCCCAATCACCCCATCTGTGTGTGACAGACAAGTTGTGAAACGCCATGAATAATATGAAAGGAGATGCATCCACAATCAGCGTTATGATGTGCTGTAAAGCTGTTTATTTTTCCTTAAGAAGGTAAAGTAGACTAACATGAAGACGGGAGCAAAACACAAATGAATTTGGCCGTGAGCATCCATTTTAGAAGATGCTAATGTACATCAGAGTGAGTAAATTTTGAGGTAGAGCAGACCCTGGATTGAATAAGTTATGAAAAATACTAGTGTACTATTAGATGAAAACACGGTCATGTTTTGCCAAACATAATGTGTTCTTTGTTTCTGCTGAAGCGTGAATAACATATAAATAAGACTGAAAAGGTAATGATGTCAGCAGGGCAAACAAGGGAATTACAAATGCAAAAATGGCTTCAAATGTCATTGTTACAACATTATAATCCTAGGTTATTTTAATATTGTGATCAAAGATTGTTGTAATGGTGCAATGGAATACATGACAGAAAGATGTACAGGCCAATGTGTTTTTAGCTGATGCTAAAACACAAAGAACACAAAATATTTTTGTAGGGAATCTATTGAATGCTCTCCTTGCATTATTTCTGGATTTTGTTAGTCTTTTAGATACAATTGCTGCGGCTGCATTGATTACCAGTATGACAAAACATTTCATATTTCACATTTGCTGAATTTCTATACTTAAATTTTTGAATTTTAATTGTCGTTCTCTATTACATTACTGTCCAATGGTATTGTTACATCTATCAGTAAGCAAATTTTATCTTGCTTGTTTTAAATTATTATGTCTGGCCTATTTGCCAGAACCATTTTATCTGTTAGTACCCCTTGATTCCACAGTACTGTTATATCTTCATGTTCACATACTGGCTTACGTGTGAGAGTACCAGTTTTCTTTTGTTACAGTGCCTAATGTTTTGCGTATTTAGTAATATAATAATGTCAGTGTGTACAGACTTTATTATGTATTTATTCAATGCCAGAATGGGACATCCTGATGTCAGGTGGTCAGTAATTTCTTCATATTCTGTACTTTAAGTATCTCCTTTCAACATTTTCTCTTAAAGTAGATCGTGCTAATTTCCTGATCCTGAACTGCCACAGCTTTCCTTTCTCTTTCTCCCGGAATGTCTGCAAACACGAGTCATATACACACCAATTTTATATCTAAGCAAATTGTCCTTGCACCCTTTTTTCTTCCAATTTTCATTTTATATTGTGAGCTATTATGTTTTTTATTTGCTTTGTTTCACTTTGAAACAGTTTATTGAATTTGTTAAATGTTTGTAGCAGTGCTGAATTTGTTTTATGTTGGTGTGCACTTACAATTTGTATCAATGAATATTCTTTACTGTTTTACTCTCTGTTCCTCGTGGGTGATGCTGTCCATGGATTTTTAGCATTTTCTTGTTTTTCTGTCCAGTTTTTGTATTGTATTATTAAAAATTATCATCATTGTTAGTCATGGGAAATATCAGGACAGAATGTAAAGTTTTGGTCGTAAAACTTGATGGGACTAGACCACTTCTAATACCTAGGCATTGACAGGAAGAAAAAGTTCAAATGGTTATTAAAGAAATTCGGTGTGAGGGTTTGGGCTGGATTATTCGGTTCGAGACAGGGCTCTTGTTATCACGGTAACAAATCTAACGGTTCTATACACGTATACAGTTCTCAAGAGGTCACTCAAATCGTGGTGTGGCTCTTTTTGATCACCACGAGGGATTCAGACTAAAATGTTGAAAACCACTGACCCAAACAAAAGGAAATGCTAGCCACACTACAGATGGGAGACGACAGCTGCTGTCTGCTCGCCAGGAGAAGTTTGCTGGGAGTGATAGTTATCGGTGGGGTGGGCTTCAACTACTACAAGAAAACACGGATCAATCCACTCCTGTAACATTGTTCGTGTATACACAGGCTCCATGTACAATTTATTCTGGTTAGGCGTAGTGCACATGCGCAGTAAGATCACCTCCCTCTCCCAGCTATTTCCGTTTTTGCACGCTGGCCGACTTGGAACGGGGAGGTAGACTACGTATGGTACATATAGAACGCCGATGCTGACTTTCGCCGGTGACCTGGAAGTGCCTTGTCAACGCGGAAAGCAGGAAACAGATTTCAAGTCCTGAAGGCTGACGACAGAACGTGCCACTCACAGATCTGCGACATCAGTGCTCAGATTCCTACAATATGTCGGGGTTCGCACGCCTTTTCGTGGTACTGGCAGTTTTAGCTTTGGCAGTTTCAGTCAGGGGAAGTGATGATCAGAGTGGTGAGTAACTTCCAGATGCTTATAAACACATTTAAAACAAGTGGTAATGAAACTTCAGAAGACTGTCAAGAAATTAGTAGTTGTGAGTCTTAAACCCCTGGACCTAAGACTACATCACAGTAAGTGATCTGTACAAAAACCGAAATGACAAGGTTAAGGTTGGACTACCGGGGGTTGATTCCCGGCAGAGGCAAGAAATTTTCATCTTACTGTCGCAAACAGGCTCTGCTGTCTACCCAGACTTTTCATTACAAACATATTGGGATCTCTTTCCTTGGACGTGAAGCGGCCCGTCGGGGCGTGTAGCTCATCTAGTGTCGAGGTTAGGAATGTGTGAATCTAATACCTCCACTCCCCCATACGCCTTCATGGCGTTATATTTTTGTTTAGCACCGTGACAATTTCACCTGAAAAAACTCTTGTTCTCATTGGGCGTGAATCTTTGTCTGTCGCGATAAAAAGAGTCCGAGGTCAGGATAGGGGGTAGAGTATTTGGACCCACGACAGAGGAAGAAACAGGCTGAGGGGAAAATTACAAAATGGAGAGCTACATAATTTTATCAAATACTTTTAGGACGAGCAATTAAGGAAGATGAGAGTGACGGAACATATTGCACATAAAACGGAAATGAATATATGCAAATGGAAAATTGTGTGGAGTCAATTAAAATAACACCGGAAGGCAGAATACGATAATTGTGAATGTTATACGTATCTGAACACGTTCCCATGATGACGGCATTACAGTTAGAATCAGCACCTGTAAGTGGCTGTATTTCAACGCGAAACCAAGGTCAGTCACCACTAAACAGACTGTACAAATATATTTGCTCTCTAGGTAGATTGTCATGAAAGTGAAATACAGCACCTGAATTATAACTAGCCCAACAGTAGTGCCAGTCCGTCCCAGCCCATACACTCAGACTCCATTACCGAAAATTTTGAACATCCTGGGTGGACAAACCACTGGCAGGCACTCCCTGTTTTACCAATGTCGGGGTGATCGAGCCTTGTGGTTAAAGCACCCAAAGGGAAACAACCTAAGGAATAAGAACCTTGTTGAAACTGGGTGAAAGCCCCCAGGTGGCCTAAGAACCTGAGAGTAGAAGCGTCTGGGTACCCTTCTGCCCTTGGGGAGGAACAGTGGTTTGTTCATAGCGCACGATAAAAAGTAGAGATCACACGAAGATGTAATAGAACCTCAAACATTACCTTTACACTTGGTAAATGGTTTTGACGATAAACCCAAAACACATCCTCGCGTTGTAGTAAGGGTTGAGGAACGAGGGGAAAAATGTTACATAAAGCGCCTTTTCGCGCTTGCAGTAATTTAATAGACGTCATAAAATTGTATGAGTAGAATAGAATTTACTTTACATAAGTCCTAAATAAGCCAAGGATGTAGAACATATCACATCACAAATACAGTGCTTTGTTTCTAATACAAATATAAATTGCATAGTTACGGCAGTATTTTGCACTCAGTTTCAGTATTACCACAAAGACGCAAGAAAACGTGACAATTATTGCTTACGTAAAGCTGAGATGTCTTGTTGAAGAAAATTTTTCAGTAGATTAGGAGTGAGATAGGAGATACGCTATTAGCACTGGCTTAAATTTCTTTATATCGTGGAGGGAAGATTACCGATAGCTTAATTCCGGTATAGTAAACTCCTTTTTGATGTTTACTGAGTTTAGTGTTTGGAACATTTTTAAAGGCCATGAAAGTTACAAGCCATCTTCACTCGACTGGACCGTGCTCTTCGTGTTACAGACTCCACATTATTATTTCCTGCGTTCGTCAAAGAATTGTTCGCATTCGAATATTCGCGTTGAACGAGTGTTTGCTGTACTGATTTATCGGCTTGGCACAGTATAAGTACAGTAGATTCCGGGTAATTGGGACACATCGGGACTAAAACACTTTGTCGAATTAAGCGGCTGCCCCAATCATGCGAAGTTCCACGTAAAGAGTGAAAAGGTTTGTTCTTCAAGATTTGTCCCAAATAAACGGTTGCCCCGATTAACCGATGGCCCAATTAACCGGAGTCTACTGTATATTTACTTGTCACCGAGTCTGCTTGTAAGTGTTATATAACCAACTTAAACAGTCGATTGTGCCGTTATCATAAGCCGTAGTCACTCTGCAATCATTTCGCTCGATTGTTTCCAGTCTTGGCCGCAATGGAAGAACATGGAGTTGTTCCTGATGTAATTGACACTGCACCAACAGATAAAGTGGAGGTAAGTGCGGTACACGGTACATAACCTACGTGGTAACAGCTTTGGGTCATCCTGCCTGTGTGTCTATACACTTACATACGCACATAGGCCGCATAATGCAGCCACACACATTCGTATTTTCTTGCATGTTTGCTGATTTATTACTTACATATGTATTTAAGAGTGTCCAGTATCTAACGCTTCATGTTATGACGTTTGACCGTTAAAATTTCAAAGTGTCTATGCTGATTTCTATTAATGAACATCGCCGCTCGAGGTTATCTGTTCACAGCGCCATTCTGTACGAATTTTAATGCTAATGGATAATGTTTTTGAATTAATAATTAGTTGCTGACATTGCTAAGAATTTCTTTAGGTTGGTAGTGCTGAAGTGTTTATTCACATCAAGAGGGCCGCTGACTGAAGAGTCCTGCAACCGCTGGCGTAGATCACGCACGTGTTTTCTCTTTACGTAATAATAATTAGCACACAAGTAGATTAGAAATGTACGTCATAGCAAAGAAATATGGAATAATGACATCATTTATGATCTTTGGTGTAGATGGGAGAATAATATTGTTATAAATCGTAAAAAAATAAGAGTGTAGGCTGAATTAAACTGTCTCAAGATGAGGTCTAGTGGCAGACTCTTACGAAGATGATAATAAACCTTTTGGATCCATAACAGGTGGTAGATTTCTTGACTGCTGAGCTACTGTCAGTTTGGTGAGATTTCAGGTTCTCATGACAGCAGGTATGAACTTAGTTGTCTTCTGGGTTAATGTGCTGTGTATTCTGGTAGAGGTTTACCATTGTTTGAGAGGGGCTTGCTACCTCCATCATCAGTGGTGAATAAGCTGTGTGGGAAAAAATTGTTTTTGGAGCTACACCTGTGTTCCCCCACCTTCTGGTTAGGCTGTGTTCTGCCCTTCTCCCATCGGCTCCCTCGCTGTCACCTGATCCTCCCCCTCTGTCCCATTGGTTGGGCCATGGTTCTAACTTGTTCAGCTGGCTCCTTTATCTCAAACTAATACCTCACATGCAACTTACTTGTTGCCCTGATGATGCAGACAGCAAGCACTTCTGAAACTTCGGTAAACCTATACCAGACTACACAGTGCAATGACCCATTTTTGAATATCGGCTAGTCAAGATGGACCTTGCTGCATGTTGTTTGATGATGAACACTGAAGATAGGAAAGTTGTTCCAGGGAAGCGAGTAGAACTGATTCATCAGTCAAACATCGTGGGTCTCACACAGTTCACGTAAAAAATCTATATTTCTATAGACTTGCAGATGTACCATTTCTCATTTCGTACTTGTCTGCTAATTATTATTTTAGTATCAGTGGATTTTAGTTCATTCCTGAAATTATGAACTCAAAACTTTTGGCTATATAACAGGTAACCTATGGGCTTCTCAGTGCGAGCCTCGGTAATGAGCTGACTCCGACACAAGTGAAAGACATTCCATCTGTGCACTGGAAAGCTGATGATGGGTCATACTACTTACTCTGCATGACAGGTTTGTCTCTGTGTCCTCTCATATTGAAGTTTAATTTAATTTAAAATAGAAAAGATAACAATATTTCAGTTTTTGCAAGGATCAATGAACTTTTCAGAACAGTACTCGATATGTTTGTTCTTTAATTTATAACATAGTACCACAAACCATTGTGGAAACATTTAAAAAGGCTACAGGATAAGGACAGACATGTACATAAACAGACGTGGCCATCCTGTATTTGCAGTTTCTGATGAAACTGATGTGCGTTACTAAACCCAAGAACTGCACAGAATATTTCACTTGGTTCAGTAAAATGCCACCAAGTCGTATCTGTTATGAACAGATCCTGATGCTCCTAGCCGTGCTAATCCTGTGAGGAGAGAATTTCGTCACTGGCTGGTTGGTAACATCCCTGGTGACAAAGTAGACCAAGGAGAAACACTTACTGAGTATGTGGGATCTGGGCCTCCTAAGGATTCAGGTAAAATACAAGTTTGCCATGTTCAGAAGGTAGCACATGTCAGTCATGTTACCGTGTTGGTCGATGATGGTAATTCATTTCAGTTCCTAACAACAACAGCAATACAAGTATTATTATAATCACACTAATTATAATGGTGATCCAGTACTGATAACATAAATGACGGATGTAGTTTTCATTGGTCAACATGTTAATTAATTTTTTCATTTGCCTGAGGGATGAAAGTTTCATTATTTTAGGAACCACAGTAGAGTTTAAAGTTTTGTTGCTTTGGTGGTCACTGGAGTCCTCACACCTCTGTAATAATAAAACAGGAAGCAGTGACACTGTGGAGGTGATACTATGACCGTAGTAATTGTCACCAAATTTTAAGCTTCAAGGCCAAGGAAAGACTTCACCACTCTAACCGCATCGTTCTAAGTCACCAGGAGAGTGTCGCTCAGCTTTGTACAATGCAAGTTCTGAGTTGTTTTCTTTTGCTGTGGCCTATAAACATGCAATTTGGTGATGACTACAGCGGGATTTTTAAGTAGTATTTAAACATGGAATGATTTGACTAGTTACAGATTGCTTTATATATCTTGTTCCTGTATGATCTGATTTACAGATTGCTTTATATATCTTGTTCCCGTGTGATCTGACGTATGAGAAATTTGTAGAGAACAGATTTTCCCCATAAGTGTGCATATTTTGATTTTGTATGATTCATGCTTTCAGGGCTCCATCGGTATGTCTTCCTGGCGTACAAGCAGCCTGGCAAAATAAGTTACGAGGAGCCTCGTATAAATAACACGTATGCACAATAATTGTTTTTCATCGTTATTGGTGATGTCTGTTTGGCTAATTTAAATTTTTTCCATGACACACTCTTTACTTTGTTAGTATGCGCCATGCATAATCTTTTAGACACCCTTCTGCCTGATTTTTGAAACTTAAAAGAAAAAGTCAACATTATTCTTGGGATTGTCTCTGTAAGAGGAACTTATTTTTTTGTATTTACCATTTTTTTTCTGTACGCAAATATGTAAGTTTCTTGAACACTCCAGGGCCTAGTTTTTAAAAGAGAAAATCCATAATTTTCTTGGGATTTTCTCTTTATGACAGGCACTTTCTTTGTTTATCATTTGTTTCTATTACACACCATCATATAAGTTCTGGGACGCACCTGTTCCTTAAATTTCAAAATAGAAATATCTATAAATTTCTTTGGTGAATGAGGTTATGTCTCCAAGATGAATGCTTGTTGTATTTACCACGTTTTCAATGAAGTGTTATTTGTGACATTTAGGATGGGTGCGTTATATATTTATATGGATCATTTTATGTCTATAATAAGCGCTGAACATATGTTAACTTAGCTCACCAGTCGAATAAAATAATTACTTACCCAGAGTTCAACATTTTAGTTGGAAATAATATGTATGTATGTATATAATCCATTTGGTCAGAATTATTGTTTTTCTCCGAGATAAATGGTATGTGACTGTAACCATTTTTATAATGCAAGAGCAATCTATGATTGTTAATGTTTCGACGCTTGCCAGTTGTTTATTTTATCATGGATTATATAAAAGGTGTGGTTTTCTCGACTAGCTTAATGACTTGTTTTCTCAAGAAGACACTGTGACAACGAGTTCGTTAAATTACAGCTTAACTGCTGATGTGATTGGTGCTTTGTATTCCTTCTGTCTTTTATTTTAGGTCCAGGGACACACGCCCTAATTTCTCCATCAAGGCGTTTGCACTGAAGTACAATCTTGGAAATCCAGTCGCTGGCAACTTTTTCCAGGCCCAGTATGACGACTATGTTCCTACTCTGCATGCTCAGTTTAGTGGCCACTGAATTCTTGCCCTTGTAGTTGGTAGACTCTTGATTGACGTGGTTTTTTTTGAGAAGTGTATTTTTCTGGATAATTGAAACACTGGTTGTTCTACAAAAATGAAAGGAAATTTTCAGATGTGACATACACATAATTTTATGTACAGACATACACTAATTAAATTTTTAAATCTTTTCTAGTACTTAACAGAAAGTATTTTATATACAAACTATTTTTAAAAAGAATTCCAATTTATAGTAATGTTCTGTTGTCGTAAACTTCAGGTTTGAGCAACAATTGTTTTAAGTTAAATAATATGTCTTTGTTTTATATAGTTCTTTCTTTTTAAATGTTCTGAATTTACAACAGATTTTCTAAATTAATTTTTTAAAATTTGTTTCAAACCGATTGTCCTCCGGCAATCTTCCCCCAGATAATTGTGAGTGTTTAGAACGAAATTATGTTTCATTTATAGCCAAAATTTTAAGCAAAATTTGTAAGAAAATATAATAACATGTAAACTTGTTAGTTCTTATAGAAAAATGATGTATGAATCAAATATAATTAAAGAATAGCAGAATAAACAATGTGTGTGCAGTTTTGTCTGGTTCTCGACAGGGACTGGTGGTGGGCTTTTGTGAACAAGGTAATGAAATTAAATGAGTTAAAGATGATCATATTGTTGCTGTTAATGTTTTTAAGTTCCAATAGGAACAAAGGTTGAACTTAATAACAATATCATGAAATACGAAGATCAAGGCCGTTTGACTTCCGTAAAAGTCACAGAGTATTGTTGGGTAAGAATGTACATTGTTCTATATTGATGATTGCGGTGATGAATCGCAGCAATGCGTCTCATCAATTTACCATGCCACGTGCGGTGAAGTAATGGAACTACTTCCTTGCTGATTTGGTCAAGGAAGTCATGTGTTAACCTATGGAAATATCGTGATTATATTATTATGAAGGAAATCAAGGCTTGCAAGGAGAAAATAATATTGTGTGTGTTTAAACAGACATAGAAATCCTAGTTAAAAGTACAGTAAATAAATTATTCTTCTTCGATGGCTCTCTGGTCTGTATTCGGTCCATGGCCTCCTCAATTCTCCTCCATTTGGTCCTCTGTTAGGTCCGTCTGTCCGAGGCTTTGATCGAGGTTTCGAAACATCTTCCTTTTTACGGTGCAAGGTTGTTAGCCTTGCGACCAACCCCCAGCCTGGAGGACCAGGGTACCTGTCTTAGTCTAACCTCTCCCCCTCGACCAATCTGGCTTGGGAGGCCCTACCAGTAGTGGGGACAGTAAATAAATTAAAACTAATAATTAAAGCAGGTTGTTCTGCACAGTAAAACTCCAAATGACCTAATGCCCTTACTCAATGAGCAAAGTATGATGGTACAGTTCTTGTACTTGTTAGGAAAATTTTGCCATTTTGAACCAACGTTCATATGTGAGGAATGCAAATCTCTACAGCTTAGATTTTGGTAGAATTCTTACAGTCAGTGGTATTGCATCATGGAGGGAATTCCTCTGCTACATCATTGTAAGTTTCGCTAGATTTGATTAGACTAGTGTAAGATTATTATTGAGGCCTGGTGCTGCAACCCCAGCTGAATTCCTCTCATAAGGACTGCTTCACACAAAATTGTATTGAAATCTGTTGTCTGATTTAGAAATGAAACAAGCAGACATGACCTTTCCATAATGCTAATGTATGAGTACATGCTCAAGGCTTCGGCAGTGGTCTTTCCTGCATTAATTTTCAGTGATGCTGTGTGTTCTTCATTGTCTACATACAAACAGGGTATTCATTCTTTTAATTAAAATTCATCTTCAAGCAGCCCTTGTTTTCTAAAAAGAATAGATCACGCTTATTTTCCCTTTATTTATTTATCTTTATGTCTTGACACTCAAATTATGACTCCACTGCAAAAAGGCTCTTAAACTTGTGGGAGGAGAGCCAAATGCAAATTAATAACAAGCTGCTAAACGAAAACTGACAAATCACGGAAATTTGAGTTGTGATAGTTGTATTGTGAGTCACAATTTGTGAACATATATGCTTAGTCATCGAATTGCATGCTTCAAGGTCACATAAGAACTATGATACGTCCCCTCTAATACGTAGCTCAAACAGAGCGTACACTGGCTTGGGCTGTTGTGTTCGCGTTACAAAATTATATGATTTTGCTGTGACCTTGAAGCATGCAATTTGGTGACGCCTACTATATAGTGTTAAAACTAGTCCAAATTCGTGGAAACTCTTATATGCACCATGGCTTATCCGAGTGCTTTAGTGCACGGCCAAGCGCGTCGCTAGCTGACAATGGAGGTGTTGGAGTACAGAGGCCAAACATGTAGCGGAGCGTATACTGGCTTGTATTCTGCTGAATGCAGGAAGTGTTTACCCGTTCAATTTGGCTCTCAAAATGTCTGTGTTAAAGTGAATGCTTTTGACTGAGAATCGTATTTAAAATTTAGCTTAGTAAACAGTAGAAGTCGCCAGTGGGTTCACGAAACAAACAACACAAAAAGACATACATGTGAATTTCATCATCTTTATAGCAAGGATATGCTCAAAGATTTTTTTGTGTAACAAGGATTTCAACAAATAGTTCAGATTTTTTGTTGTCAAAACTTGAACAACGTCTAACCAAGGAAACTACAACCTACAGAAAACCTATGCTACCAACAGAACGGGTCATAACATTAAGGTAAGCATCATTTTCTTGAAATTTCTTAAGTGTTTGTTTCTGCTGCTTGAATTCTGTTCCAATCTCTCCTCCTTGGCGTCCAGTTTCGTTACCATATAAAATTACTTTTCGGCTATGCACTAATTCTCGTTCTTCTATCGGTTTAACTACTACACCAGGGTTTCTCAACCTTTTTCGCTGGCGTACCACTAATTATAATTTAACACGTGACCAAATGCATTCAGGGAAAACGTATTTTTGTTAATATTATCTTTTGATTTTGTTACTTAGTTCGCGTACCACCAGTGGCACGCGTACCATAGGTTGATAAACGCTGTACTACACAATCTAGGTGGTCGCATACGACTGAAGAATTGGGGAGAGGCAAGGAGAAATTGAATAAAAAGGAGAAAGACAAAAGCGAAAAAAATAAGCTTTTAAAAATAGTGACAAACAGAAGGAACCAGTAGATGTGTTTTCAGTTTCTTGGCCGTGTGATAGCCACCAACAATTCTTGGTATCGTGTGCAGGTGGCTAATGTGTGTGTACCGAAGTTGACAATGGGAACAGTCCTGTCGTAGTCGTCAGCTGCACGCCAGAGGCTGTTGGGACTTGGTTCAGCTCCATTGTTTATCTTCGTAACTGCTTTCTTCAGAGGTTACACCTACAAACATTAATTTGTAAGTAACTTTATTAATTATTAAAAATAAGTTATGTTACAAAGAAATGTAAGAGCTTGCATTATCTTATACATTTACGTGATTCATAGCCGTTCTTTGATGAAACTGCACTGTGGCTTTGTGCAGCATATTAATGACTATATTTACAGACTATTATGCCAAATTGTATTTGTAATTTCTTGAGTTCACTTATGGACCGACATGATTCATGAGCTATAAATGTAAACATTTTAGTGTTGAGCGTGGTTGCCAAATGTAATCAAATACGAAAGTTTTAATTACAGTTTAACATAACATGATGGCTATAATCGGGAAAGGATTACGTCACACCCTCGACTGGACACACATTGCCTCATGAATACAACGAAGAAATAAACCTATTGTTAAAAACGTAAAATAAAGCCATCAGCATAACTCGTGTGAAGATTATAAAACTGTTGGGATTTGAGGTTTTCACGGCGGAGAGTTTGAAGATGGCTGTCTTCATTATAAAACTCTTCAGAAAGATCACTCACTGTGATATTCATTCGTGACAGTTTATAATGATAGATTAAATAATCGAACGGGGAAACATCAGCGCCATTGTACAATTGTAAGTAAGCATTTGACGTAGCCAGTGACTCAGAAAACAATGGTGATGATTCCTGTGAAGTATTGTCACCAAAATCGAGCAAAGTGCTAGAGAATATTAATGAAGTGATGACATGGTTAGAATGACAGATCGACATCTTCATTTGCTGCACCTGGTTAATATTAAGCAGTACGTAAAAAAATCAATCTTCAGTTCCAACAAACTACATTTCGTGACTATTTTCGTAATTAAGTAATATAACCGCTCATCAACCCCTTTCGTGGTGTATGCTAATTATGTACTTGTAAGAAACCCAACTTTTATGTGCTAGGTCATAAGGTTTTGTCCTGATTTTCTTTTGTTAGTTTATGATTCTTTTGTATTTCATTTATATTCTGGAATATTGTAAGCTTGGGATCGGAAATGGACAGTCGATTCTAAGCGATGTAGCGGTACCTGAAGTACGTGGGAACGCAGAGGTTTTAGTAATTTCCAGACTTGGAAATTCCCTTGTACATAAATTACCTGCCCTTAACCCAAGTTGGTTTTGCCGCTAGGTAGCGATGCCCTTTAGAATTAAGAGTGTGGGAGGAAGCCCCTGAGGATTGGTGGGGAAGGGTAGGTCCTTCGAACCGAACCTGGACCCACACCAATGGGAGTTGCTGTTACATTTCCTTTTGTGCAAAGTTGGAAATTTTGAGGTCCAAACGTAAGGGTGCTTACGTCATAGAAAGGGGTTATTTTGGCCGCAGACGGAGACATTAAGGGACTCAAGGTTGGCAAGGCTCCGGGCCCCAACGGTATACCGAACAGGGTTCTGAGACACGGCGCGAGATAACCTTTCTCACGAAAGTGTTCGACGCGGTCCTCCCCGGGGAAGAACCCCACGCTGCCTTCTTCCTACAGACGCATCAGTCTTCTTGACACAGTCGGCAAGCTCTGCGAGAAGATCCTATTAACAAGGGTCCTACACGAGGCCAGCGAACGCGGGCTGCTGCACGACGAGCAGTTTGTGTTTCCACCCAGACACAGCACGATGATGCTGATGAAAAGGAACTTTGATGAGAGGCGGCTAACCGGCGCGGTTTTCCTGGACGTGGCCAAAGCCTTTGACACAGTCTGGGTCGAAGGCCTCCTATACAAGCTGACCGTCCTCAACTTCCCGTCGTACCTGGAGAAAACCATCTCTTCCTACCTCGCTGACCGGACATTCCAGACGTCCTTCCAGTCGGCCACGTCCACACGTCGTGCCATGCGGGCCGGAGTTGTGCAGTTTCTCGGAGAGCCGATTCAATGGGACTTAACAGCGCGGTATCTGGGGGTCAACCTTGACGCCGGGCTTACCTGGTCGGCGCACGTCAACCAGGTGGGAAGGAAGGCGTGCTAGGCCCGCTCCTTAATAGGAGAAGTGGGATTCCGAAATTAGATAAATGTAAATTTTACATATAACGCTGGTACTGAAGCTGTCCACCGAAACCCGCGTTATATCTAGGTTCCACTATAATTGCAAACACTATCGTTTAACTTAATGTACATATCAAAATATCGAAACTTTTAAAATGTACAGCAATGCCACTTTATTAATTTTCTCGCGTTTTAAAATTGGCATAATTCTTGCCAACACTACGACACGAATGTGTTCACGATGATGGATTTATATAGAACGAGCTATAAATATCGAAAACAATCGGAAATATTTATCACGAGTGTAGTTTAAACCCTGGCTGCATTTATAGTGATACCAGAACACTGTCGTTCTCCAACATTGTTTCAAGACGTGTCAGTCTGCTGTTTCAAAATTCCATTCTCCATTGGGTGGATCACTGCGTTTTAGCCAATTACGGAGCGACCACTGTTTAACAAAACACAGGCGTCTTTCATAACTGTTGAGTAATTCAGCGTAAAACGTCTGTGGCATTACGCGTCTTAACTGCAGTTTTTTGAGGTAACGAAAATTTCTATCTGTTGGTGCCTTGTTTATGTGTAGTTTTTGTGATAGTTTTGTTCTTATAATAAGATTTGTTGTTTACTTTTAAAAGTACGTATCCAAAATGATGTACAGCGAGAATGTGTTTCATATTTAATCAGTTACATTGTTTGATTGTTGAACTACTTTTGATAATGTCGACAGACATTTGAGTTTCATTGTGTTCTGTGTATAATCCTCTGTAGATAACGTCAAAGAACCTACTATTTAATACACAATTTCATGAGGTGTCAGGTATAACAGAGTTATAATGACGCAATGTGTGCATAAATAACGGGCCACTATTTGCGTACATTTTTTAAGCTACGACCTAAATGGGTATGAACTAATGTCAACAATGTGCATTAGTATAGGATGATGGTTGTGTTTCAAAGCCATTTTTCATTTTCTGAGAACATCATTTAACTTTACTGATACGATAAGGTAAAGTTCACAGTCACGTGCTAGATTAAGAAAATGGAGTCACAAGGTCACTGCCGGGAATTGAACCCCAGCTGTTCAGTCCACAGCTGTTATTGTACTTTCTGATCTGTGTAGGCACCGATAAGATAGTGGACAGGTCATTGAATTTCAGTATGGAAAATGGAAGTGAAAATCGAGTTTTGCATTTTGTTTCTCGGCAAATGATAAAATGTCGATCGGTTTTTAACGGACACTAATAACTTGTCTACCCATCTATGTCTTGGTCTTCCTAGTGGTCTCTTTCCTTGAGGTGTTATATTATTTAGTGTTCTGTCTGACGACAGTTCCATATGAACAGGATCCTTCCATCCTTTTCTCGGACTGGGAACTGTTCATATACTTTCTTGGCAGATGATCCAGAAGTGGTTTGCCATTGCCTTCTTCTGTGTGTGAATGGAGTAATTGTTGGGATGCCACGGAGGAAAACTCCGTGTTGCCTAGACCACGGCCTTGCCCAACACAAGTTATAAATTCGGGCACCGCCGGGAATCGAACCCGAGACCCCAGGATTACAAGGCCAGCGTTCTGATGTTAATGTTATGAACATATAATTTGTATTAATTTTTTATTTTGTCCTTGAGTGGTGAAAAGGATCGCACATCACACCACAGCAAAAAATTCGAAGTCATAAAATTCATTCTGAATATGTTAGTGTCTCCGTTCGTCTGTTCGAGTTGTTAAGTAACAGAGCTTTCTTCTACTATAAAAATTTGTGATTTGTCGTCGTCAAAAAATGACGTCATCAAACAATGTCACGTTAAAACACTTGAGTAAAACACTAAACTAACAAGTGTTTTAACCTCTTCCTATCATTGTATGCCGAGTAAACAGACGACGTTTCCTAGGTAACCATTGTTATCGATTTGTTGATATTGATCTTACGCAACGGGGGGATTGCTCAAGTGTTTTAATACCCCATTCGGGGGGTTAGTTTAGTTTCTTACTCAAGGGTTAAAACACTTGAATGAGACACTAAACTAACCCCCCTTACTCAAGATTTTAAAACGCAC